TTTCTTTTTTTTTTTTTTTTTTTTAGCTGCATAGTTGGATACATTCAGTCTGCATTAGCTGCATTGTGTGGATTGATTCAATTTGTGTTCTTGTAACAGACATTGTATTATTTTCAGTCTTTTGCTATTACAAATGATACAGTGATGAATAGCCTTGTACATGTCCATCTGTTTTTTGGTTATTATTTGCCATTTTACCTTTGGGACAGATTCCTAGAAGTGGAATTACTAGGTCAAAGGGTAATTAAGTATGTGATTTTGCTAGGTGTTGCCAAATTCCTCTCCATAGGAGATGTACCATTTTGTGTTTTCAACAGTGTGATAGGCAGAATGATGGCCTCCCAGTGATGTCTATGTCCCTATCCTTATAACCTTTGAAAATGTTAGGTTATATGGCAAAGGAGAATTAATGTCACAGGTGGAATTAAGGTTGCTAATCAGTTGACCTAGAAATGGAGAGAGAATTCTGATTATTCAGGTGGGCCCAATGTAATCACAAGACTCCTTAAACGTGACAGAGGGAGGCAGAAGAGGTAGAACCAGAGAGATGGCAACATGAGAAGAACTCAGCTGACTTTGAAGATGAAGGAAAGAGGTCATGAACTAAAGAATGTAGGTGACCTCTAAAAGTGGGAAAAGACAAGGAAGTGGATTCTCCCCTAGAGCCTTCAGAAAGGAGCAAAGTCCTACCAGCACAGCACCTTGATCTTAGTCCAGTGAGACCTATTTTCACTTCTAGCCTACAGAACTGTAAGACAGTAAATTTGTCTTGTTTTAAGGCACTGAGTTTGTGGTAATTTGTTACAGTAGCAGTAGTAGGTTGATAAAAAACAGTAACGTGTAAGCGTGCTTTCTGGCCTCATCCAGAGTGTATTGAACTTGGATTTTAGTCTGATAGGTGGGAATTGTGTTTCAACCAGTGTTAATTTATAGGAATGAAGCAAAGCATCATCTCTTATGTTCAGAGGCCGTTTGTTTTTCTTTCTTTGTGAACTATTCATATCTTTGTAAAAAATGGATAGCTGGCCTTTTTCTTCTCAATATTTAGGAGCCCTTTATATAATAGGGATGTTATTCCTCTGATGTAAATTGCAAATATTTTTCCATTGTTGATTTTTGCCATTCAAAAACATTTAATGTAATCTGATTTGTCACTCTTGGTCACTCTTGGATTTTTGTTGTGGTTAAGAATGTTTTTTCCATTCCCAAGCATCACCCTTAAAGTAAGAACTGATTCTGCAGAATTCATTCTTAACCATTTACTTTCAGGAAATGTTTTGATGGCACATTACAATCAGAATCAACTAACAGTGGAAAAAACAAGAGAGATTCAGATTTTGAAGGCACAGATGAACCCATTTTTGGAAAGAAGCCCAGGATAGAAGAGTCAATAAATGAAGACTTAAGGTAATATTTCCATAGTCATAAATGTTAGTAACTCTTAATTTAGGTGGTTGCATGACATTTTGAAAATTGCTCATATGTTGATGTTTTATAAAAATATTTGCAAAATATTTAGAGAAATGAAGACAAATATACATTCATACAAGCTTGGAAGTATAGAATACTTATCTAAGTTTGGAGAGCTGGAAGATTATATAGAAAAGACTTACCTTCTAATACTTTAGAACCCAATTTTGAGAAAGAATATTGAAACCTGATTTTTTTAAAAAGAAGAAAAGAAAGCTTTTCTTTATTTGTTAATGTCCCAAGAGGAGGATCACTGGAAGAGTGGAATAAAAGAAAAGAATAAAACTGACCCAGTGGAAGGAACTAGATTTTTCACTATTGCATGTAGCAGTAGAATGGCTGTGAATCTCAAGGCTCCTTGTCAATAAGGGAGATCCATAGATATTTGTGGCTAAAATAGCTGGTATTTTTCTGATTTTGAAAGCTGGAAGTTTATAGAAGTTGATGCCAATATTTTTGGTTGACCTGTTTTCCTCCTGTGATGATATTTACAACTTTCTTCTCCCTTCTTGTGCGCTGTATTCTAGTCTGGCACTATCATGAAGAGTTTACTCTTTTCTGTGGTTTTTTTTTTAACCAGTTAACTGTTGTTATAGCTCATGTACTGTAAATGATGATAGATGTGTCACTAAAATTTTTAAGATGCACCGTTGCCCAAGCTAGTGCAGTAGGTTACAAAATAATATAGGTAGTTTAAAATTGTTGTTGACTATCATTGTAGCTTTTGGTTTTTACCCGAAGTATGACTTTGGGGTTGGGGGAAAGAGCAGCTGGCTGGTACTGGGATCCGAACCTTTTACCTTGGTGTTAAAACACTGCTCTCTAACCAACTGAGCTAACTGGCCAGCTCCTAAGAATGATTATTGACTTAAAGTAAATATCAGAAATATAACAGAGTAATGAATCTAGCATAGAAGTACATCCGTTTTTCTTCAATTTATGCACAGTAGTGTACTTTCAGAGTCTAATCAAGAACACAGATGAGTATATTAGGATTTTGATGAAAATAAGGAACACTTCTATAAATTATAACAACATTTGAATTAGGTTAGTTTATTTTTTACTATGTATTGTGTCATAGTTTTTATAACCAGCTTCGTGTTTTGAAGTAGCAACAGTGTTTTGGAGAGGGACCTTTTATTCAAAATAGTTATTGGAACTAAGCTGACAATTCTTTGAATAATCCACTTGGCAGTCTGTTGTTCTGTATTTGTAATAAAAGATGTTAACTGACCATTCTGAATTCTCAGCATGTATTTGCATAATGTGAAAAAAATTTCTGAATATTCTTTATAGACAGAGTTTTCTGATTTGGAATACTGATAATTGGGCATTATCATTTTCCTTACCAATGTAGATGGGAGGCTTATTATTTAATTACAGAAAAATAATTTATTTTTATGTAACTTTAACAATTTTTTTTTTTAGTTTGGCAGACCTAATGCCCAGAGTCAAGGTACAGTCAGTTGAAACCATTGAAGGGTGTACACATGAGGTAAGCACAAATGTCACACAGTTAAGTATAATAGATGGGATTTTTTCTTTGTACCATTCAGTATGATGATCAGCAAGCAGTTTAGCCTTGAGGGCCTTGGAAACATTAAGTAGTTTCTGTGGTGTATACATAGTCTAGAGGAAGAGCTGGGGCTTTGTAATCAAACCTGGGTTCAGATCCTGGCCCAGTATTTTTCCTAACTACATACAATCTTGGGTAAATTTCTTAATCTCTTTAAACATTGGTTTTTTAATTTGTAAATTTGGAATAATGGGATCTACCTACCTCGTGGAGTGGTTGTGAAGATTATACTAGTATAAGAGAACAAAGTATCCACCACAGAGTAGGTGTGTAGTACATGTTCATTCTCTCACACGTAAGGTCAGGTTGTAGTCTCATTTTTGCAGGTTACTTGCTATTTCATGTCTTGCTCCAATGACTGATAAATTGCAGTTTCTTTAGTCTGCATAAAATAGTGGCTACTGATAGCTTGTGGTATCCATTTATAAGTGAGAATATATACACATAAGGGACATAATGGAACTGTAATACTATTTCCTTCTTGTAAGCCTTTTACCATTACAATATAAATCTTACAACAAGTTATTATTAAAGATAATTGGGGAATCTTATTAAAAGTCTGTTGAATAAGCAGAGTAATCCCAAATTAACAAAAATGGCTTTTGGTATAGATATAGAACCTTATGGTTTTTTTGGTTTTATTTATTTATTTAACCAGTAAGGAGATCACAACCTTGGCACGGTGTGGTCTGCACCACACTCAGCCAGTGAGTGCACCGGCCATCTGTATATAGGATCCAAACCTGCCGCCTCGGCGCTCCCAGCGCCGCACTCTCCCGAGTGAGCCACGGGGCTGGCCCCCCTTATGTTTTAAAATACCTGTTTTTCTACTGAAGGTCCTTTATGTTTCTTTAGAAATAGTACTTAGTTTGGCAGGTGTAATGCCCATTTGATTGTTCATTCAAGATTTATGTTAGACACTATCCATTCATGACTTACGTTAGACACTATCCAATCCTCTGGGCTTACAAAAGATAGAAAAAAAATAAACACAAACAATGCTCTCATGTGGTCAAAAGCTCTTTCTGTGCTCCACAGTTGTCTTTAAGCCTGCCATTCTGTCATCTCCTCTCACTTTCTCAGCAGTTAACCTTATTTCTTACTTTAGAAGCAGCTGATCTCATCTAATGTTTATTTTTTGAGGTTTTGCTCTTAGAAATGATTCCTGCATTCTGTGTATACCTTACTTTGACCTTGTGAACTATTTGTACACTAATTGGTTAGATTCCTACTGTATAGTTAAAACATGTAAACATTGTCATTATTAATTTTTAAGTCTTGGGAATTTAGATATATTTTGAACTCCAGATCTTAATCTTTACTGAAGAAAAATTAATTTTCTCTTTCAGGGAATAGGGAGTATCATTTTATTTCACATAGTTTTCTTTCATGTGGTGACATTACGTTTTATGTCCATTCAGGTTTTTTGAGCATTCATTAATGTCAGGGAGTATACAAGGTAAGGAAAATACAAAAATAGCTAAGATAGGTCCTCAACCTAGACCTTAATAAACACACAGCTTCTTCAGGGAGATAAACTTATAAGCTTTCAATTACATTACCATTGGACAAATACTTAGAAGAGGTATTTTTAAATGTTGAAGCTTTAGCTTTTTGCCCTGTTCTTAATGGCAGTTATCTACAATATCTAAGATATCAGACACTCTTAATTGGTGATTATTTATTTATTTATTTTTGCTTTGACATCAGGTTGCACTTCCTGCAGATGAAGATTATTTGCCACTTAAACCTCGGGTTGGAAAAGCTGCAAAGGTTTGTGCTTTAGGTGATACAGTTTGTACAGTTTTGTGAGACTCTCTTTTCCTTAAAAATCAAAAAATAAACAACTTCAAATGGTATTTTTATACTTCTCAGTGTATACGTAGCAAGAAGAAGCCAACTGGAGAAAATATAGTGAGAAGTAAATCAGTAAACAACCATGCTGGAAACCAGGCATCATGTGATAAGATATTAAAACATTAAAATAATGATTCTGACCCTTTGCATGTATACCAGTTTTGCCTATAGTTTTAGGGGTTTAACAAGCTTTTAATGAAACCCAAACTATGTTTTTATTATGAATTTTGAAGTCCTGATGGACCTTAAAAAGTTAACAGGTTTTTAAGGTTGAATTTTCCAGGTAATTTTTCCTCAATAAAAAAGGCAGTGTGATGACGTAAGCGTGAACTCTTAAAGTCTCATAGATGTATTATTCTGCCCCTGCTGAATGAACTTAAGTGAGGGACTTCACTTTTCGGAGCCTCAGAGTTCCCATCTCTGAAAGGAAATAATACCTTATTTTAGAGGTTGTTGTGAAGATTAATAACAATATATGGAAAATGTGTTGCACAGTGCCTACCACAAAGCGTGTTATTAAAAACATGCTATTAAACACAAAGCATATTATTAAACACACTGCCTTTTTGTTATTAAAAACATGCTTTGTGGTGGGCACTCTGCTACACATTTTCCATCTATTAATTGAAGGATTAGACAGCAGAATTAACTTCTGTGCTATCTTGATGAAGGTTTTTTTATTCTTTCTAATTTTCACTAGTGGTATATTTACTAAATAGAATCATGAAGGAATGCTCCTAGAATGCTTTTGGGATAGCCTCTTTTGATTTTAAGTGTGCTCTAGTGTGGCTATGTGTTTTCCTATAGATTTTAATATTTTGTTTTTATAGGAATATCCATTTATTCTTGATGCTTTTCAAAGAGAAGCCATTCAGTGTGTTGATAATAATCAATCAGTTTTAGTATCTGCACATACATCAGCGGGAAAAACTGTGTGCGCTGAGTAAGTAGCTTTCTTTTTAAATGAAATCTTAAAATCACTTAGTTTTGTTTCTTAACTCATTCTTTAAAAGTTTCAGTTTTTTTTGTTTGATTTCTTCAACTAAAGACGGTTTACTTGTCCCTTTCTATTTTGAATACCGTTAAGTTCTTTTTCTTGACTTATTGAACTGGCCTCCAGTACAGTGTTTAATAGAAATAATGAGGCGGGCATCCTTGCTTTGTTCCTGATACTAGGGGGAAAACACTCAGTCTTTCAGTATTAAGCATATTACCTGTCGGTTTTTCATAGATGCATTTTATCAGTTTTAGGAAGTTCACTTCTATTCCTTCTACAGAGATTTTGTCAAATGCTTTTTTTCTATCTATGGAAACAATGAGTTTTTTTGTTCTGATAATATAATGAATTACATTGATTGGTTTTCAAATGATAAAACATCCTTAGATAAACTACACTTGATCATGATGTATAACCCTACTACTGTATTGTTGGATTTGATTTGTTAAAATTTTAAGAATGTTCTCAGCTGTGTTTATGAGGAGTGTTGGTTTTTAGTTTTATCGTATGACTTTCAGGTTTTGGTATCAGGGTAATGTTTGCCTCTCTGTTTTTTTCCTGAGTAATCTGGTTAGAGGTCTATCAATTCTATTGATCTTGACCTAAAAAAACAGCTTTTGACTTCATTGATTTTTCTCTGTTCTGTTTTCTATCTCGTTGATTTCTATTCTGATCTTTGTTTTCTTTCTTCTACATTGAACTTCATTTTTTCTACACTGAGCTTTTTCTAGTTTTTGAAGGATGAAAGGTAAGGAAATTGATTCGAGACCTTCCTTTTTCTAACAGGCATTTGTTTAGTGATGTAAATTTCCTTCTAATGCTGCTGTAGCTGCATCCCACAAATATTATATTCTATTTGATATATTCATAAAATGATTTTGATATTTTCAAAAAATTTAATATGTCTTGATAAGTTATGTTTGATCCATATTTCTGTATGGCATAATTTTCCTTCCTCCTGAAGAAATAAATATCTTTAACATTTATTGTAGTGCAAGTCTCCTGATGAGAAATTCTTTTAACTTGTGTATGTCTAAACATGTCTTTTACTTTTTCGTTTTTGAAAGATATTTTCCCTTGGTATAGAATTCTAACTTTTTTTTTAAGACTGCCTTTTGTCTTATGTAGTTTATGGCAAGAACTCCATGGTGATTCTTATCTTTGTTCCTCTATTCATAATGTCTTTCTTCCTCTAGGTACTTTAAAGACTTTATCTTTATCATTGGTTTTAAACATTTTATAATGCACCTTGGTATAGTTTTTTCATGTTTTTTTGTGCATTGGTTCTACTTTTGCAGTTCTCTTGTGGCTCTTTTCCTTTGAGGACTCTAATTATACTTAAGCCACTTAAAATTGTCTCAAAAATTGTCTTACTGATGCTGTATTCATTTTTTTTCTTTTGACTTTCATTTTTTGGGTCATTTCTACTGCGATGTCTTCAATTTTATTAATCTTTCCTTCTGAATGATCTAATCTGCCATTAAACTCATTGAGTGCATTTCTCATTTCAGACATTGTAATTTTCGTTGCTAGAAGTTCAATTTATTTATTTTTAATATCTTCTAGGACTCGTAACTTTCCTTTAGCTTTTCGAACATATGGGATACAGTTGCAAATGTTTAAATGTCCTTATTACTCCTTTTTTCATCTGTGTTATTTTGTGGCTGTTTTGATGAATTGACTTTTCCCTTCATTGTGGGTTCTTTTTTCTCCTGTGTTTTTTTTTTTTTTTTTTTTTTTTTTATACTGCTTTGCTTGAATGTTTGGCTGTTTTTAATTTTTGTCACTGACTTGAAGCAGTTTGATTATGATGTTACTTTA